ATGATCACAATGCTTATGTACTTCCAATCTGATCCCGACATATGGTCCGGCTTGATCTTCTTGTCTCCGTTATTCGTCCTACCGGAAGGCATGATTCCCTCCAAGGTAATTTCAAATATGAAATTCTTTTCCCAGAATTTACAACCTCCGATTTGCCTCTGATCCCAAATCTGCACTTGATTTATTGTTTGAATTTGGGCAAATTTCCGATTTCTTTACCGATCTAAAAAAAGTCAAACTCACCAAATTGCTTCGATTCTAACAATAATTTGAACAAATCAATCATCCAATTGATTACAACTTTCGTTGTTTTGCGATTGAAGCTACATATAACGATGTACGGACTACTTTTCGGATTGGCGGATACATGGGCGGCGATGCCAACGGCTCAGATGGCGGTGAAGGCGGTGAAGGATTTGGAGAAACTGAAGATACTGGTGGTGAACCCGAAACGATATGCCGGAAAACCGAGGGTGGGGACGATGAGAGAGGTGGTGAGGGTGACGAATTATGTACAGAACAACTTCGAGAAGGTTAAGGTTCCATTTTTTACAGCTCATGGCACTGCGGATGGGTTGGCGTGCCATACTGGTTCAGAGATGTTGTATGAGAAAGCTGTCACTGCTGAAGAAGACAAGACGTTGAAGCTGTATGAAGGAATGTATCATTCGTTGATCAATGGGGAGCCTGATGAGGCTGCGGATCTTGTTTTGGCGGACATGAAAGCTTGGATTGATGCCATGGCTCAAAAGTATGGTCCTAAATCCTAATTGTACTCATCACTCGTAACTTCCTATTGAAGAATCTTTTACTGACAGATACAACACACACAATTGATGTTAACTTTACGAATCTTTGTTGGGTGTTTATTATGAGTACGTTTATGTATTTTTATTTCAAAAACCAACGTTAGGAGCAATTATATTTCGATTGGCTTGTGCCTCATTCTTTTTGGTGCTCCTTGTTTGTTCACTTCAACATCAAACACGATTTAATATTATATTGTTTTTTAGTGATTCTTGGTATATTTGGAATGGACACAAGTGCCAAATGGTGTTAAACTGTGACATGGTGTGAAATACATAATTATACAGAAAGATGACTTAGATGGATAATTATGTTTCAAAATCGTTCAAAAAATATCATTCAAGTTTGGTGTGTCCAAAAAAACATCACCCAAGTAAAGTATTTCTATAAAAAAACACCAAAGAATTACATTCTTTGTTCAAATTTGACGTTGTGGTAACTAGTAATTACCGGTAAAAAAATAAGTAAGGGAAAAAACAAGAGGAAATGACTCAAAAAGGTAACTATGTTTCAAAATCATTCAAAAAACATCATCCAAGTTTGGTATGTTCAAAAAACATCATCTAAGTAACTATTATGACATGACATAATAATTATTGACAAAACAATAAATAATATATTCCTCATTTAAAAATCGATTTAGAGTTTTATCATGAACGAATGACTTCTTTTTCTCCTATGATTGCTCTTCTTCTTCTAGAGTGATGATCTCGAATTCAAGTCCAAAACCCTAATTCTTGACTTAAGGCAAAAAGGGTTCATTTACCACTGCCTCAATGGGCCTCCCTCCCCCTAAGCCTAAATCCATAAAAAAACTACAAGGCCTCTAAGGCCTAATATGGTCTAAGAACCCTTAGCATGGCATTAAGCCCAAAAAATAACCTGCTACAATCAGGTGGGCCTGATGCCTAACTTAAACAAGTCCGTACATACGCCCAACATATGTCGAAGCCTCTGCGATCCGGATATCGAGCTAGTACGCCCGACGTACTCCTATCGTACTCGGCTAGGGTCAAGAATAGCCAATCTTCCAAAGGCCATAACTTCTTCATTCTAAGTCCGATTTCCAACCGTGAATTTTCTTGCTGATAACCGAAGAACAGAATCCCAGACCATTCATTGCTGCTGAAAACCTTTCATTTGAAAACAAGGGAGACTCCCAACGTGAGCCTCACCCCTAAGAGCCAAACCAGTATATAACTCACATCCCGATAACCAAAGATTCATATATTCATTCTATCCGAGACCTTCTGATTCCATGGTGACCTTCTACTAAATTGGGATCCAGAATCCCCAACCTTCCACTGAGACTGACAACCCCGCGCTTGGTCGCATCAAGAGACTCTACTCAATAGTCTAATTGGTAAAGGCTACCCTAGACCAATTACCAAATGTATTCAATCTGTTGATCATATAGTCTTCCAACTCTAATCATGATCCAACACCTTAACTAAGACAATTACTATCGGGTTCCACCCTCAAGATTCAAGCACTTACTTCTTCATGATTAACCGTGATACCATCTAATCCGCTAGGACACACAAGCTCGCAGATCACCCAGATCTCTCCATCATTCTATTGCTAGTCCGGAGGCTTACAACCATCACTTCCTGCATAATACATATTCTCGAATGTGTTAATGGTATGCTTAACCAAGTTAACCTAACCAACTGGGCGTTGCTCATAGGTTTCACCCATACTATCATAGCCAACCGGGCCTCACCTACGGATGTCACTCATTCTGGTGTATGCTAAAATTCACAGCATAGAGTTACAACACTTCCACACAACCTATCCACCTTGTGAATGCTACGGTTACCTCGTAGTCTTACAACACTTCCATAACATCCATTGACCCAGTCCTTGGTCTTTCCATCCACATACCATACCAAACCAGAATCAATCATGAGTTGAAACCTCATCAGACTATACTCTAATTAGGTGTCCGGGCCATGCTTCAAACCCTAAATCCTTTATCACACTAGAACAGGAAGAAAGGCTCTAACACAACCCTCAACCTAAACCTAATCACTTATCCGCCATGCGCCACTACTGATGTGCCTCATATTCGATAATATAACTTGAATCCTCGTTCCTTGTGCAATCGTTGGTCCAAAAAGTTCTCCCCTACTTGGATTCAACTGCACTCTGCCAACCACATAATCGATAGATTTCCAAACCATCTAGCGTCCTTACTACCCCACTACTATCCTCTTGGGCTTACACGAGCTAAGATTCCAGTACCAAATGGCCAACGATATCCACTCCCCGAATTGGATCAGACAATCTGCTACTCCTACAGGAAGAACAACGCTACAACCAAGCACCTTCCCTTGATACAATTCCAAATCCTTGAATAATTTTAACGGATGAAAAAGAAGAATAAAACCTTGTTGACTTAAATGGATCACCAATCCAACATTTCACATGTCGAAAGTCTGATGCACTTGGAATGCCGCTGACAGATATAATTCGAATCCTCTTGACCATTCCAGCGGCTGAACAAACCGGCACAAACGATGCATCACTCACAACTAGGAGTGATAGGTCCCCACTACTCTTACCCTACTAATGGTAGCGATTGACTCAATGAGCTAATCAACCATTAGCCGACATTCAGCCCGAGCGACATAATTACCTGGAAGACTCACTTCACTATCCCAGAAGGGACAACCAACTACCATGAGATCTTGGCCTAAAAAGAACTTATTTTGTGAATGCTACATGCATAACACTTAGCATCTCACCATGCACTTGCGTTTTGAGCAATCCTTTACCTCTCTCCACCATGAAATATCTTAATCACCTTACATTCTAGTGATCCAATGAACTTACACTTCAATTCCCTCCAACTCATTGTGCTTATGCCACCAAAATTAGTTTAGTTGTCGATCCTCCAAGCAGAACACTCAATTCACTCCCACCTAGAGCTCACACTAACAAGGCTGAAGTCCTAAGGCTATCTCTACAAGGTGTACTCTAATCATGACTCTTGGTAAGCAAAATGGCATATAACGATCCTTCGATAATAATAACTAGACAATCACAAAGAACTATGCTCTTTATGTGGGGGGGTTAACTAAATCGAATATAACATCTTGCACACACAACTATACAAGTAAAAGCGATTAAAATGCATGAAGTAATACATACCTGCGAGGTCTCGAAGTCATGGCTGTGCCTCCTAAAAGAACATAGATGATGGTGTTTGAGCCACCCCAATTGAAAAACTTGGGAAACTTGCCCTAATATGACCAGGATGATGACAACGATGACAAAATTCTACCTTTAGGGTGAAAGCTTGGCGAACATGAGCCTTCCATCCGTACCTGCCACATTTGAACTTGCAGCTCCCAGGCGCATGGGTTCCTCCACCCTTTGCGAAAGTATCGTGGCCCTTCGGGTCCCCAGCACTAATGTCACACCCCAAAACCAAGAACGGCGGAAACGTTCTGGGGCGGAGGACGTTATGTAGAGTATCACAACACAGTAAATGTAAATAAGCAAACAACATCATCCATTGCATTAAATATATAATTTTAATACAAGCGTGTTCTGTACAGTATAGACACAAAAAATAATGTATATCAAAATAATAAGATGAGTCTTGAATGTGCTTCATCTTCTCAAAAGTTAGCCTCGGTACCTGTCTACTGATGACCTGAGAATACAAGTTATTTTGAAAGAGTTTATCAGCATCAAGCTGGTGAGTTCATAAGTATTTTAGTGTCAATGTTTGTTGTCAAAACGTTTGAACCTGTCTCAATGTAGTAATTTGTGAAAATGTAAGTAAGTGTTTGAAAGTGTTTGTAAAAGTCTGAATCTCTAAGAAAATCCTATATTTTCTAATAAAGTAACCTTCTACCAAGGCTTAACTGTTTTGTACGTTCGTTTGATGTAAAAGTGTGTAATTTCCCAAGTGTAACTATCATTTAACGAAATATAGTTTGTACATTAACGTTTAAGTGAGGTTATCACTAAAATATGTAATGGGTAAATCATTGTAGTACTGTAGTTTTGTATGATAAGAACTACTGATGTACTAACTACCTTAAACCGGATTTATATTAAGGTATAATGTGATAAATTGCACCATGCTATCGACTGGTAACAACGACATAATGAATGGTCGTAATAACGGAATGACGTTTGGCACCCGCAGACCTGCAGGTCCGGCTGTAGCTAGCAACAAGGTGTAGGATAGTCAATCTAGTATAGATCTATACGCAAACTCACGCTCTCCCTCCAAGAGAATTCTGGCTACAACTCGGGCCATGACATTTAAGGCATGCTCCGACACAGTGGATCACAATTGTTAACGTGTTCATGTATATGTAATGTTTCTCGTTCTAGTATAGTTGTATATGTACTATTTCTAGTATAGTTGTATATGTACTGTTTCTAGTATAATTATATATGTACTGTTTATAGTATAATTGTATATGTACTGTTTCTAGTATAGTTGTGTATGTACTGTTTCTAGTATAGTTGTATATGTTCTGTGTTACCCCGATGGTAACTAGCTATTGATGTACTGATAAGTATGAATATGGAAGTACTTTTATGTCTATACATGTATATATGATATGTAACTAATATTGAAACGACCTTCGGATGGTCACCCGAAATCCCACCAGACCACATCTCAGTGCGCGAAGAGGAAATAGGGCGGATGGCCTTCCTAAGCCCTTTAAACATTACTTATATATCTATACATATATGGGCATGCAATTTATAAGAAGTAAAACAAACTTTAATAAAAGAATTTGATAAGTAAAAGAGTTTGTAAAACATTTTGAAGTAAAACAGTTTGATAAACAGTTTGAACAGTGATAAAATCATTGGTTTTCTAGTTATTAATCACATGTGATTAATGCAATCACATGTGATTGATGCAATAACTATAAGTATTTAACTTGTATCCCCCACATAAAGTATTTAAAACATTTAAAAGTATTTCAAA